TGACCAGTTCTGGAGAACCGGTAGCGGAAATTTTGAGCAGTTCGGAGAACCGGCAAATACCACTTCTGACTGGTCCCGCTTCCATCTATTTTCTGCCTCCCAATCCCAGCTGATTGGCTGGATCTTCTTTTGTTGCCCTGCACAGGAGAATGGATCTGGAAAGCAGGTTAGTGGGCGGGGAGGGAATGAGATTTTGCAGTATCCTTCCCCTGCCACACCCACCAAGCCACACTCACCAAGCCACACCATGCCCACCAAGCCATGCCCACAGAACCGGTAGTAAAAAAAAATTGAATCCCACCACTGCTCTGAATGTTATACTGAAACCTGTAGCTTCCTTCTCAATCTTTTATTTTAGTACTGTCCTTCTTCCTCCTTAAATATTTTAAAATATCCCACTGATCTTATTTGCAGTTTCTTCAATTATTTCTCCATGGGGTTTACTCTCCAGATCCATATCATATGGTTAGCTTACATAATAGTAAAACTGTGATGGTTGCTATTGATGTTCCAAAAGAGAAGCCAGATATATTCTGTTGCTACTAATATTTGCAATAGCATTAACACCAATATAAAACAATAAAAACAAAGTACCAGAAGTCTATATTGTAATTAAAATGATTTTCTAATCTTCTTGTAGAAAATAAGCACCACAAATAGGATAGAGGATATACTAGTGTAGCAGTGGTGGGATTCAATTTTTTTTCTGGTTCTGTGGGCGTGGCTTAGTAGGCCTGGCAGGGGAAGAATATTGTAAAATCTCCATTCCCCCCCCGCATTCCTGGGGGAAGGATACTATAAAATCTCTGTTCCCTCCCCACTGCGCTAACCTGCTTTCCAGCTCCATTCTCCTGTGCAGGGCAACAGAAGAAGACTCAGCTGATCAGCTGGAATTTGGGAGGCAGAGAATAGATGGGGGCAGGGCCAGTCAAAGGTGGTACTTGCCAGTTCTCCAAACCACTTAAAATTTCTGCTACCGATTCTCCAGAACTGGTCAGAACTTGCTGAATACCACCTCTGTAGTGTAGGCTTTCGGGGCTAGTATTTGTTGGGCTGTGTTGAGCTCCAGCGACCATGGTCTAGACCACAAATGTCCTGTTGTTTCACTGGCAACTGTGGCTGGCATCTTCAGGGTTAAAGGCCATTTGGCAGGGACTGACTGGACTCCTGTCTTTATCGTTGAGTGACCTGACTTCTGATTGGTCTTTAGCTCAGCTTGTTTCTGATTGGTACAGGTTGGTGATGGGTAATCTTTGATTGATATTTTGTTTCTACCTGGTCTTGATTGATACGTTCATGGAACCACCACCAAAGGGACCAATGCCACCAAAATAATTAAACAAATATGGCAGGTTTGGACTAGAAATATTAATTTTCAAGATCACACTCCTCATACATTGCAGAACTCGTTTAACTTTGGGGTGTTTTCATGCTGCAAAACCACCACCACCACAACAAAAACTACCAATGGCTCACTTTTCCCATGAAAGCTTCCGACATGTGGCTCACAAGCAGGTTCCCACAGGGTGGTGCAAACACGGTCCCTCAATGGGGAAGGCTGGAAGTGGTTTTGTCCAATGAAAAAGCATGTGGGAAGTGGCTCTTGTTAAGCAAATATAATGAAAGTGTGGCACTCAGGTCTTTTTCTTGATGAATATTGTAGAAGAGTTCAAACAGGCTGACCAAGACTGTTTTCTGAACTAAGAACAGAATACGGTATACAGAATAACTGAGTTGGAAGGGAACTTGGAGGTTTTCTAGTCCTATTCCCTGCCCAAGCAGGAGATCCTATACCATTTTAGAAAATGACTGACTGATCTCTTTTAAAAAAACCTCCAGGTTGGAGCACCCACAACTTCTGGAGATAAGTCTTTTGCACTGGTTAATTGTTCTGTCAGGAATTTTTTCCTTCTAGGTCGGTCAACTTTGAAAAACATGACTGTAAACCAGTCTAGGGGGTTTCTATTTTCAACGCCTTTACAAGGGCTGCAATAGCTCCTGGGAACTGTTTGTGGATTTTTGGAGAGCATTGAATTACTCCAGGGAATATATTCAAACTGCATCTCCAAGGATCCGTTTCTTGTCCTAATCAGTCACCCAAGCCACAAACTCGTCAGTAGATGGCTTCAGCTCCAAAGTACATTGAGGGATTGTTGAACTTCTATAAAAAATACAAATAGTAACAAATGGAACAGGAAACCACAGTAAAAACACTGCAAAGGTAAGATGCTGCATATAGAACAGGTTAAAAAGAAGTCTCAGTGTTCTAAAAAGAGGGAGAAGGCAAGCATTTGTACTGAAATAAGCAGTACAAATTTTGAGTAGTTCAGAGAACCAGCAAATACCACCTCTGACTGGCCCTGCCCTATCTACTCTTTGCTGCCTGAGTCCCAGCTGATTAGCTGGGTCTTCTTTTGTTGCCCTCCACAGGAGAATGGAGCTGGAAAGCAGGTTAGTGGGGTGGGGAGGGAATGGATATTTTACAATATCCTTCCAATACCAAGCCCACCAAGCCACACACACCATGCCATGTCATGCCATGCCACTCCCACCAAACCATGCCCACAGAACTGGTAGTAAAAAAAATTGAATCCCACCATTGATGTGAAGGGAAGGGAATGAAAGGAAAGGAAAGGAGAGGAGACGAGAGGAAAGGAAAGGAAAGGAAAGGAAAGGAAAGGAAAGGAAAGGAAAGGAAAGGAAAGGAAAGGAAAGGAAAGGAAAGGAAAGGAAAGGAAAGGAAAGGAAAGGAAAGGCAGAAATGTATCATTTGTCAAAAAATCAAGGCAATGCATGCAATATAATACATGCCAAATCTCAAACCATTGCCCTGTATGGATCCCTAGAGGACATCTTTAGCAGAACTATAGAGCCAAATGTATAAATATGATACTGTAAACGTCCAAATTTGGCTTTTTTGACTCTCCCTTGTAAGTTTCCTAGCAGGGCTGGAAAGCAAGGAAAAAAATGGCAGGCCAAATCTGTGTTGGGAATTTAGCCATGGGTTCTTGGAATCTTAGAAAAGATTTTCAAATGGATGGGTGATTCAGCAAAAGAGAAAAGTGGATTACAGCACACCCATTTATCATGAAGCTGAACTATATTTTTAGAACTGGTTCTGTGGGATAAAATGAGCAGAGCTGTTAAATATTTATTACAAAGGAGGTTAAGCAACATTTTAATTTGATGGGAAAAACACAGCTGCCTTGGCAGAAATACCACTCACAGCTAAATATGCAGCTCAGACTTTTTTTTTTAAAAGGACAATTACAAACATAGTATTTCACTATTTGTTTGTAGTTTGCAAGTACACAAAGAAATGTGTTTTATAAGTCTCCAACTTGTTGCATCATGGGTGTTGAGGTGTAGCTTTCATTGTTCTGAATTTAAAGCTGTTGTGGCCAACTACAAAATCAAAGCAAAAATATTTTCTTGCAAGCAATATTCATTTATTTTTGCAAGACATTGGTCAGTTAGACTTATCCCCCACATTTTCTTCAATAGCCTAGGGCAGGGCTGTCAAGCTGCAAGCCTGCTGGCTGCATCCAGCCCATGGGGTACTTAGATCTGGCCCATGGGGGCCCCTTGGGAATAGCAAAGGATCTGCCCACGGTGCCTCTGCCAGCAAAAATGGAGCCCTGGAGGGGCTTAGTTCAGTCTTTATGCACCCTGACTAAAATACTGACAGCCAATGGCTTCCACAAAAGCAAAATCACCGGCTTGATCCACAAAAACACACTGAGACATAATGGAGACCTAGAAGATGAACACACCTATGGAATAGCTGTCCTACCCTACATAAGAGGTACTACAGACAAAATCATCAAGATACTACACAGGCATCACATCAAAACTGCCTTCAAAACAGACAGAAAAATAGCAGCCATCCTAAGAAACCCCAAAGATAAAATTGACCTGGAAAACCAAGGCATATACGAAGTCCCCTGTGCATCATGCCCGGCCACATACATTGGACAGACCAATAGAAGAATAAGTACCCGCCTGGATGAACACAAAAATGTAATAAAAAAGCTGGAACACACTTCCTCACTAGTCCAACACATGAAAGCCACAGATCATAGCATCAACTTCAATGGCACCAAAACCCTAGCCACTATAGAAAACCCCAGCCACAGAATTATCAGAGAAGGCATAGAGATTGAAAAAAGACCTGAAAGCATGAATAGAAGAGATGACTCCACCAGACTGTCAATTATTTGGAAGCCTGCACTCACAAACAAAAAAATCTCCACACCACAAGCCAGGCAAACACCTGGGCACAAACAGACCCCCGCCCCATACCTCCAGCTCAAACACACCCCAACCAGGCACCCAGATGAAACCTAGCTTCCTAATAAATGAAAGTAGCATTTTTTCAGTCAACAGATTTGATTCTAATATAGTCACATTCCAACTAGATACATTATGGATATGAAATTAGTAGACACAAGTTATTTCAGTGAGGTCTGCATGATTGTGATGTCATAATCATGAAATCTTTATAGCTTTCAATGAGCAGTGGTTGGATTTGTTTGAAATGACTCATCCAACTCAAAATCTTTGCTAGGCTATTGTTCAGATGAAGATCATCGTCTCTTTTAAACTGTGTTTCCTTGAAAATCTTCCAACAATGCGACAATGTCTCACAAGCATTCTCAAAAGCATTAAAGACCCTGCAAGTTTTTTTCGTTAACATATTCTTATGAGAGTAAATTTTCAGTCCTTATTGAAGCCAGTCACTTTGGTTAGTGACTGTCATGCCTCTGGTGGAGACTGGCTATGAGAGAGAGGATGAACAGCCAACAGGGAGTGGAAGTGTGGCTCCAGTGGTTGTGGAGGAGGCTGGGGAAGGTCAGAGGCCGGCTGAGCCAGCAGAGGAGGACCCAGGCCCATCCCCTATCCATCCTAGGGCACGCAGGGAGGAGAGGGTCTTGATCCTCTTCATGGGAGCAGGTGTGAGAACTGCATAAGAGTTTGGACCGGCATGCTAGCAAATGCTGGAAACAAAGGGTGTTTTATTCCTGGATGAGGTTTACCTTGGTTGGCGTTCTTCCAACAGACTACACCTGGTTATCTTCTTGGAGTTTATAATTAATTATCCTGGTCTGCCGTGGTACTTTCTTCAGTGTGGTTTGTTTTTGGTTTTTTTAATTGCTTCGTTATCTGCTCTTTGAGTTGGACTGTATTTCTTTCGTTTGGAATGTTATTTTGGAAAGAGTTTAATCTCCAACTGTGAACAATTGAACAGTGAAGCCAAGTTGAAGGCATTAAAGAACATTTATGTATGTTTTGGTTTTTGTTACATTTGTGGGACACTCCGGGTGATATAGGAAGCATATAAATTTAAAAAACTAGATAAATAAAGACCAGATACTGAAATAGGGTGAAAACTTTCTTTAACAGGCGGTATTTCACAGGTTGATAGATGCACAATTATACTAGACAACTCCATGACCTCTGGGTCATCATTCCAGAGATTTCTGATCAGGATTCCTCACTTCCTTTCAACAATAACAGAGTTTCTAATGCATTGGAAAATTTCTTAAAAATTCAAAGAAGTATTCAGAGATGTACCTGCCTTGAAATTAGCCCATGTCGAACTGGATAGCATGATCAAACATCAGCAGTTGACCTCTAGAAATGATTTATCACATTTTCTTTTATGTCATAACATGCTTTACTATTACTGCATATCACAAAATGCTTTATAAAAATTTCCAATTTTCAGTTCCACAAGAATCATTGGTCCTAGATTTGGATGCAGTCTATAAATTAACCCATGTGACATACAGTAATGCAAATGTTTTGCCCTGGGATATACCGTTTCACCCAGTTAAAGTTTAAAGACACAAGAGTTTTAGTGGGATATATGGATAGATGTAGGTCAATACAGCACATTAAGATTTAAAGCTAAAGGCTATTACTAGCATGTGTTTTATATCAATGTTTTTCTCTCTTTCTTTTTAAATATAGATACATGTTCTGTCTCACTTTTCTTCTTTCCCAAAAGATGAAAGAATACAAATTCACACAAACACGCAAGCTTGCTCAGACTTCACAGAGTTAATACTTTGGAACTGATAATATCCTTGGCATTCCAACACGCTCTGCCTGCCAAGTCTGAACTGATAACAAATAAAAATCTACACACAGAAAATTATAAGGCAGTCCACAAAAATCATTCACGAAGAAAATCTGAAGTAAGATTAAACTTTGTCCCGTACAAAGTTCCAGCCAAAAACACACCCACTTTTATCCCCTGTGGGGTGTGGCTCAATGACTCAGCTGACCCTCCCACGCCTCCTACACTGCTGCTCACATTTCTCCCTACGACGCTGCTTAGGATCAAGCCAACACTCTTCCTCTTTACTCCCTGTCAGGGGCTGCTCCGATATGTCTTCCTCCTGATTAATCTCAGGCTGTTCCTCTCGGTTGTCTGATGAAACCTGAGGCATTATAGAGAGGAAGGCATTGCCAGAGAGGAAGGTCCTGGGGAGGAAGGCATTCCCAGTTCCTCCTCCTCATCTTCCAGGTCTTCTTCCTCTGACAGCATAGGCTTGGGAATCGGGGCAACAGATACATATACAAGCAGAGGTGTGCTTCAAAAATTTTAGCAAAGGGTTCTCTGCCTGGTTGCTGGATGAGTGTGGCCATGGTGGGCATGGTCTAGTCGGCCTCCTGCACCAAGGTGGGGAAAAGTATTTTTTGCCTCCCCGGGCTCTGGAGGCTTTCCTCGAGCCTCTGGGAGGGCGAAAACAGCCTCTCCAGGCTCTGGAAGCTCTCTGGAAGCTGGAAAAGGCCCATTTCTGGCCTTTCCAAACTTCCAGGAGGTCCGTTTTTTGCCCTTCCCAAGCCTCTGTGTGCACCCTGCACTTACCTGCATCCAAAATGGGCCATGAGGAAACTCCTGGGAGTGGCTGGGCAGGGTGGGTGGGGCCAGCCAGGAGTTGGATTTGGGGGTTCTCTGAACTGCACAGAATCTTAGGGGCATTCCCGAACCCCTGAGAACCTCAAACAGCCCACTCCTGTATACAAGACATTTAACACTTTGTGCTCTCTCAGCCCTAGGAAGCAGACCATGGCAATGTCAGCCCTGGAGGCCATCTTTTTCTTTGGATCTTCAGGGCTGCCACATTTAGTGCTGTGGGAAAATGGGAGGGGGAGCTGCATGGAGTTGATGGAGATATATAGCCATAACAACATTCTTTTCTCTGAGAGTCAAGGACGTTCAGCCTGCACCTTGAGAGGAATGACTAAGGAACATCTCCAGTTGGGATGGTAGATTGATTGGACCATGTGATGGACATGTGGGTACAGGGAAAGGGACTTTGACTTTCCTTTGGGTGGGGAAAACCCGAGGGCTTTCAGATTTGGGTTTCCCCAGATGTGCCAAAATGACATCTCTAATAAAATGGAACTTTGAGGAGCTGCTGGCCTCGGAGTCTTACTTGGTTGGGGTGTTACTTGGAACCCTGACAGGCAAAACAGTTCCAAAATCCTATCAAGAAAACTGCAGGGACTTGCCATGCAGTCAACAGGAATCAAGACTGATTTTAAACCTGTCAACACCTTCCAAATCATTTCAATGGCTACATAGTTCTAAGTATCAGCCACTTAAAGCTGTAATGAACATTGACCGATTTTTTTAATTGATTGGCTGCTATTTAAAATGATTTGTTTTGGTAGTTGTAATGAAATATTGATTATAGGTTTTTAAATTGGAAGTTGCCATCTGTCCCAAAGATGCTTTTCTGAAGAGGCAACTGGACTTTCTGGTTTTTCTTTGAAGATGTTTCACTTCTCATCCAAAAAGCTTCTTCAGCTCAGACTGGATGATGAGGGAATGGAAGGATTTATACTCCTTGCAGACAGCTGGTCATTTGCATTCTTTTAGCGGGTCATTAAAGAGGTTTATCTGTGTCATCAGGGTCATCTGAGTGGTGCAAAATGGTGTTGGAACTGTTGAAAGGACTATGTTGTAAATTGGAGACAGGTGATCTGCAGCATAACACAATTGAGGTTTCATTAGATAGATAGATAGATAGATAGATAGATAGATAGATAGATAGATAGATAGATATCACACCAGACCTGCCAAATTCTGTTAATAAGCCTTATCTCGATACAACTTGGTTCTAGTTTGCTTCTAAAGTCTGTTTCCCAAACTGAACAACCTTGAAATATCTTACAACAGAGTAGGATAGGATAGGATAGGATAGGATAGGATAGGATAGGATAGGATAGGATAGGATAGGATAGGATAGAATTCTTTATTGGCCAAGTGTGATTGGATACACAAGGAATTTGTCTTGGTGCAAACACTCTCAGTGTACATAAAACAAAAGATACATTCATCAAGAGTCAAGAATCATCAGGTACAACATTTAATAATAGTCATAGGGTACAATAAGCAATCAAATCATACTAGGAAACAGTCAATAAAAATCAAAAGGATACAAGCAACAAAGTTACAGTCATACAGTCACAAGTGGAAGGAGATGGGTGATAGGAGTGATGAGAAGATTAGTAGTAATAGTAGTGCAGACTTTGTAAATAGTTGGACAGTGTTAAGGGAATTATTTGTTTAGCACAATGATGGCGTTCAGGGAAAAACTGTCCTTGTGTCTAGTTGTTCTGGTGTGCAGTGCTCTATAGCGTCATTTTGAGGGAAGAAGTTGAAACAGTTTATGTCTGGGATGTGAGGGGTCTGTAGATATTTTCACAGCCCTCTTTTTGACTCGTGTAGTGTACAGGTTCTCAATGGAAGGCAGGTTGGTATTAATTGTTTTCATTAACTTCATTACAATCAGGGATTGTATAGGAAATGAAAATGATCATATTGTTGCTGGTTTTATCACTGAAGACAAATGAAGGTAATGTAAAGCACTCAGTGTATATTTTCATGAGGAAATCCATTTCAAAATTAAGAGAAGGCATATTTCAGTGCTTCAAACATATTTTCAATAGTCTGGGATTTAATTTCCAATCAGCCCCAGAATTTTCACTCTCAAAACAAACATGTTTTGAACTGCAACCATGGCAAACTTTGATTCTTTTGCAATTAAATAGACTCCCGCAGTTAATAAGTCATATGTGGTTGTAAGCCTGGAGAGGTTTTGCATATTTTTTAGTCAGGTTATTGCCATGAATGTGCCCTCCAAAAGCTTTGGCTGCAGATCTCTAAATTGTCATTTTTAATGCAACAAAAGCAAAAAAAATAATTAAGTAGATTAGGAATAAATGCTTTAACTCTAATTGAATGAGTTTAATTATGATTACATTTAAATGTAAATTAAATCATATTTAGTTTTTATTATTATTATTTTGGGCCCATCTTCTTCTTTTTTTGGGGGGGGGGAGAATGCAGTTTCATACGACTCAAAAGCCAAATGCAACCATTACTCCCTCAAAATGCTGAGATCCTTATGATGCAAATTCTTACTTTCCTTCATTGCTAATTAATTCTAGCAGCCATTATAAAACTTAGAGTTCAGGCTTTACTCCAGCAGGAAATATCTGCAGGGAAACATAAGTTGCATCCCTTTCCAAGAAACATTCAGTACTTCTCTGACCTGAGTGATGGTTGAGCTGGAGGTGGGGATGGTTGGCCATTGTCTTCTTCTGCTGCAATTTGAACATGACAAGATGTACTTGATACAACCCAAAACTGCAAAGCTGAGAAATTCATTACTGAGTCAGTTTCATCTCAGTGGGTTCATATGTCCATAAATTAAGTGGAATCAAAATACTTAACCTTAGCTGGTTGGCACCATTTCCCAATTTATTGAGGGTAATTAAACTATTTTATGGCAGTTACTTGGTTTGGCATGATATGTGCAATACTCAAAGTAAGCAGAAAAGATCCCAAGTTCTCACTGGAACAGCTACTACCTCCTTTGATGTTCCTGACTTTTTATTTTTTGTAAAGAAAGTAGTCAAAATAAAAATAATGCTATTTTGCTCTGTGTGATGTTTGCTAACCACAAGCCCAATGGGCATTAAAATGTTGAGTTAGAGAGGCAAAGAGAACCATGCTATATTAACAATGTTCTGAAAGTTTGAAAGACATAGAAATTAAAGATAGTGTATATTTGCTTTGTGTGTTTTTATATTATCATTTTAATTGTGATTTATTATGTATGTATTGATTTTTAAATTAAGTATTATATGCCACCCAGAGTCACTTTCATGTGGGATGAGCCTTCTCCACCTCCTCCTCCTCCTCCTCCTCATCATCATCATCATCATTATCATCATTCTTATTATTTTGTATCAGATCAAACTTGGCATTGAAGTTTGAAGGCTTCATGTCAGCCTTTGTGGCTTTGTAATTGGCAAAAAATAAGCCATTATCAATATATGTTTGTAGTAGTAGCCAACAAACCAGCAGATGGACTGGGCTCTATATCCACATTCACATAGTATGAATAGATAGGCATATATGACCAGCTATACAAATATGATGAAATAAAAAAAAAATTCTACTTCTTCTGTAACAGTGTGTAGAACAATATTTTCCTGCCAAAAAGACGCATTTTTGTATCTATCCAAAATGAACATATGGTATCAGGGCAACACATCTCATTCAGCCAAATCACAAACTTTAATTGCCCCAATTTGGTCAGATTTTTTGGGAACTACAAATTAAAAGCAAATCTTTTAAGCCAGACTGAATTTGAATCTGAACTTTCACAAACTTTGTTAGAAGTCAGATTTTATGAAGGTATAAAGACATAAATGGTAATTTTGCAAAACAAATAAGAAGATCGCACAGGTTGACTACAAACAACAGCATGATAAAGGAGCAACATTGGTGCACTGAAATATCTGCAAGCAACACAAGTTGGCCTGCAAGCAACAACTGGTAGGACCACAAATAGACAAAGCAACAGAATATGAAAAACATGCTCTGGAACTTTGGAATTCAAACAGGCAAGTACCCATCACATTACATTGTAAATAAGACAATAAGAAAGACAAGAAAAGTCTGGATAATGGAAGTTGCCATACATGGAAACCACAGGATAAATGAGAAAGAACTGGAGAAAAGTAACAAAATACAAAAACCTGCAAATAAAAGTAGAATGAGCAAAAGAAAGCAAAGTTAATACAAATAGTGATAGACTCCTTCTATGTAATCCCAAAACATCTGGCACACTACCTGGACACCATTGGCACTGACAAAATCACTATTGGTCAATTGCAAAAGCACCTTTACTTGAAACAGTTCATATCCTGCCACAATATCTCAAACATCGTTAAATAGGAACATCTGCTTTTCACCTATACCTGGTCCTCAGTAAGCACTTGATAAGTGGATAAAAATGCCAAACCCGATCTAAACATCTGGCTGATTGTGTGACCACCCATCATAATGCATTTCTCTCCATGTTCTCTATCATGCCACAGCATGCATATAACTTTTATATACTGTTGTTGCTCTTTACCCATCAGCCCGCACTCCCAAAACAAGTGCATGCTGGGAAACCAAACTCCATTTCTTTTAGCATTAGGAGAAGAGAGAAGCACAAAGAAAAATCCATCTTAAACTGGCACATGGTTATCCAAGGACAAACTCACATCCCACACACAGACCGTCACTGGTGAGATTTAAATTACTTGTATTTATTAATTGTTATGTTCAGCAGTAACTCAATACTGTCTATCTTGTGTTTGGTTTTCATTGTAGGTATTCCTGTTTCCCCCAGTTTCACCATATCCTGTTCTTTCAATAAAGCATTTAGATCTACACACATGGTCTGTTTTATTGGAGGATAGGTGGGTTTAGCTGCATGTTGACAGAACATTCTCTAAATTAGAAACATTCAAGAGTGGGAATAGGAGAAAGGAAGTGAATAGTGTATAGCTTTGGATCTACTGTTCCTTTAACCATATATACTATAACAGTGTTATTTGTCATTTCTATTTAAGCACTGGCACTAGAGGGAAAAAATAACTTAAGGGTCCTCCTGGGTTCATGGCTATTCCTTGCTAGACAGGTAGAGGTTACAACCAGGTTGGTCATTGTTCACTTTTAGCCAGTGTGCTGGTTGTATCTTAGTAAGCCTTAGTAAGACCACACTTGGAATACTGCATCATGTTCTGCTCACCACAATATAAAAAATATGTTAAGATTCTGGAAACAGTACAGAGAACAACAACACCAGTGATTAGGGGGCTGAAGGCTAAAACATATGAAGAATGGTTATAGGAATTGGGTATGACTGGTCTAATAAAAAGAATTACGAGAAACATGATAGTACTGTTTCAATATTTGAGGGGCTCCTACTAAGACAAGGGGGGGGGGGTGTCAAACTATTTTCCAAACCACCAAAAGGCAAGACAGAAAGAATGGATAGAAATTAACAAATGAGAGAAGCAATCTAGAACTAAGGAGAAATTACCTCAGGGCGAGAATAATCAATCAATGGAATAGCCTGCCTTCAGAAGAAGTGGGTGCCCCATCACTGGAGGCTTTCAAACAGAGACTGGACAACCATTTGTCTGACATGATATAGTCTCCTGCTTGAGCAAGAGGCTGGGCTAGAAGACCTCCAAGGTTCCTTCCAATTCTATGTTTTTATGTTCTATGCTTTAAATTCTCACTTCAACCCTCCCTTCAGTGTAAACTTTAAGCAACAGCATTACATATAGCCGACTATGTTCTTATTTGACTTTTTAAATCTATATATACTTTAAAAGGCAAATAAGAACATGCTCAGATTAAGAATGACTGCTCAGTTAAAAAAAATTGTATGTCTTCTATTCCTTTCCCCCTTTTCACTTTTTTGTTTGCATTGTTTTTCCTGTAGCTTTTAATTAACATGCACAATTATTATATATATCATATGCTATCTTTAGTTCAGGAGATGATAGTTGTCAATAATTCCATCTTCTGTGAATTTTAAAACCATGTAAATTAACAGCAACAACAGCAGCATCTAACCCCACAGTTTTATCTAGTTATAGTGCACCCACCCACTTCAATGAAATCATCATGTTATTTTATTGGCAGATATATTATATAACACTATTACATTTATGTTATTGCTCTTTCCTAGTCTGAAGATGCAAACATGAGGTATTTCTTTAAACTCAAGAGTTAAAAGTATGCCTCACTTAGAAATAATGTGGAAAAGGTTTTTCAAAATCAGGTGTTTCAAGCTCGATTTCACTGAGGGCCACATCAGGGTTGTGTTTGACCTTGAGGGGCTGGGGAGGGCACGGCCAGCTCAACATCACTTGTGTCGGGTGTGCCTGTAGTGGCCTGAGTGCTCTGCTAGTGAAAACGGGCTCCCAAGCTCCATTTTTGGCTGTGACGGCCTCTGCCAGTGAAAACGGAGCTCATGAGGGCCACGCGGCAGAGGGTTGCAGGAGGCCATTGCAGCCAAAAATGGATCTCGGGAACCCATTTTCACTGGCAGAGAGACCACAGGGCGATCCTTTACTGTTTCCAGGGCTGCTCCACAGGCCAAAACTAAGCACCCTGTGGGCTGCATCCAGTTCCAATTTGTCACCCCTATTCTAAATAAAACTCTGCTGCTGGCATAGAATCAGAGATGGGACCAGGTGAGTTTCTTTTGGGTCCCCCAAGGAAAGGATCTCTTTTTTGGTTCATGTGTACCTAATTCAATACTCTGGTTTTGCCCAATAAGATAGCACAGGAGGATCCCAAGCAGTGGTGGTATTCGACCGGTTCTGCCCAGTTCTGGAGAGCAGGAAGCAGCGATAAGCAGCGGAGATGGAACCGGTTCTCTCCACTGCTCTGTGTTTGGCCCACTCTCCCACCCAGGCTTCCATACTCACTTTTATGGCCAGAATTCGAAGCGCAGCTACTTTGCGCGGTGCAGAATAGCACCGTGCGGCAGCTGCTGCAGCAACCGGCATCATGCAGGCTTGCAGGAGGCAAGTTAGAAAGCAGTTAAAGCGTGCCCACTAAGCCACACCCACCGAACCGGTGGCAACTTTATTTGAATACCACCACTGATCCCAAGATGTTTTAAATCAAAACTTGACAGCTTTAAGACTTGGGGAGTTCAACTTCCAGAATTCCTCCTCCAGTCATGTTAGCTCAGGAATTCTGAGAGTTGAAGTCCACAAGTCTCAAACTTGCCACCTTTGAAGACCCTTGCTCTAAATATTTGGACCCAGTGGTGGGATTCAAAAATTCTTACTACCGGTTCTGTGGGCATGGCTTATTTGGTGGACGTGGCTTACTGGTCATGTGACTGGGTGGGTGTGCTTGGTGGTCATGTGACTGGGTGGGCATGGGCAACTCAATGTCACTCACATCAAAGGGTGCCTCACCTGGCCTCTCCCTTCCCAGCCATTCCTTGTCATCCAGCCTCAACTTATCATAGTTCTGTAAAAATGTTGTTCACCTTTTTTTACTTTATTATCTGCATACTATAAATATGTACTTTCATGGACCACTGAAAGGAGGATGGCTCACATTCTTTACCCAAGACTATGATAGGCAACAGGCTTTTAAGGGGCTGCCACAAAGAAAGGGGGACAATGTATTTTCCAAAGAAGCAGAATGCAAACAAGAAACAATGGATGGAAACTGAACAGAGAGAAGCAACCTAAAACTAAGGAGAAACTTCCTGTGAGTGAGAACAATTAACCAGTGGAACTGCCTGTCTCCAGAAGTTCTGGGTGCTCAATCACTGGAAGTTTTTAAGAAAAGACTGGACAGCCATTTCTCTGAAATGGTATAGGGTTCACCCCAAGGTCCCTTCTAAGTATTATTCTGACACATTTCCCAGGATTTCTACTCAGAGTTTGGCATCCTCACTTTTCTTTCCTGAGCTGGGGGTTGGACTAGAAGACCTCCAAAGTCCCTTTCAACTCTTGTTAAACACATGTGTATTTATGCTCTGCACTATTGACATTGAATGCATGTAAACCCTGAAAAATATGTGGTAGTCCTGGGCAAAAGAAAGGCAGAAAAATCACTCTAGGTGTAGGGACAATGCAAAATATTAACACGATAAATAATGGAACAATTAAAAATAATAGCACAGAGTTTTATCTCTCTTCCTATTTTTTTCTTTCTTTCTCACTCTTTCTCTCTCTTTCTTTGTCTCTTTCTTTCTCTCCCTTCTCTCTTTCTTTCTTTCTTTCTTTCTTTCTTTCTTTCTTTCTTTCTTTCTTTCTTTCTTTCTTTTTCTTTATCTCTCTCTCTCACACACACACACACACACAAACACATACTCACACACATAGCACTTTTGTAGCTTAACAGACATGCATTTTGAAGCTGCTCTTTTAAATTTCTCCAAGGCTGGAGTGGATTCCCCCACCCACTCTGTCAGGCCGCACTCCTTCTCACTCCAGGCACTTTAACTCACAAGGGGAAAGTGATACTTGCAGCATCCATAGGGAATCCTTAGAGAAGTTTAAAGGACCTGCTTCAGAATGCATTTCTGTTAAATTGCAAAAGTGCTCCAAGGCTGGATTCAGCCCCACCCCCTCTGTCAGACCGCACTCCCTCTCATTCCAGGCACTTTTAACTCACAAAGTGATACTTGTAGCGTCCATGCCTTTCTTCCTTTCCTCCTGGGAGAAGGAGGATGCGGGTGGTAGCAGTCCAGGGGGGGTGAAAGGAAGAAATTGGCTGGTTAGTCTTTTCTTTCTCCACCTGTTTGTTCTGTATGGCCGACGAGGAGATCAGCTGACCAAAGGAGCTGCTGCTGGAGGTGACTCTTTTTCAGTGTCCGGTCACCTTTTCAGCACAGAAATCCTCCCTGAATCAGCTGACTGGTTGTCTCCTTCTCTGCGTATTTGTTCTGTATGGCAGAGGAGACAACCAGCTGGCCGATTCAGGGAGGATTTCTGTGTTGTGAAAGAGGCAGCTACTGATCTCTGGCTTCGCTCTGCTTCTCCAACAGTCTAGCACCTCCCTGTTCTATGCACCGGCTACTCAGACTTGCCGGGCCCGACAAATAGAACAGGACATGCATTTTTGGGTGCAGCTGCTAGACTGCAGCCACACCGAAAAAAAGCACACAAGCAGCTGCAGGCATCTCGCGACAAGGGGAGCAAGGACCCCTGGAATATCCACTCACCCACCTGCTGGCTGGGCCGGGCTGAAAGAGGGGCATCTGCTGGGAGAAGGAAGAAAATGTGCTCCAGGAGGGCGGGCAGGCAGGCAGATGTCCCGGGGCTGCTGCACATGTGTACTGCATGTGTTGCGGTTGCACATGCAGTGTGCATGTGCAGCAGCCCTGGGACATCTGCCCGATAGCTGCGCCATGGCCGCCATGTGGTAGGGAAAGCTAGGAAAGTGACTGGGGCAAGTGAGCAACCAGGCGATTGGGCAACCGGGTCAGGAGCGTGGCCAGCCAGGGGTTGCCACTAGTTCAGCGACCCACGCCAAATAACTGGTTTGCCCAAATAGGTGCGAACTGGTTGAATACCACCTCTGCTTGGACCATCTCTTAGAATGAATTCAAATGGTATTTTTAGCAATCCTAATAACCAGCCTTTGTTGATTTATGCTCTCAAACTATGGGCCAGGGTTTTTTTTCAATCCAATTATTGAAACTACGAAGCCAACGGTCCCCGCCTCCACTTTGGGCTCTCAGCTAGTTTGTCATGATTCACTCTGCCAACATCCCTTTAGTATAATAACATGGTGAAATCTTGTTTACTCAAAATCCCTTGAATCACTTCTCTTTTCACATTATGAACATGTTTTACGTCATTATGTGTACTGGCATGTTTTATATCTCCCTCTCTTCCCTCTCTAGAAGACAAATTTTATGACTCTGGAGATTTCAAGATATGGGATATTCTAAGATATTTCTGTCAAAGGATGGTGGAATTTTTTTAAAAAAAAAATGCATTGCACATTTTATAGCTCCCTCTTCACATTCACTGTTTACTGTAATAATAACCTTTAAAACCCAGATATTGTTAGAATGATCTATTACTCAAAGAAGTGTCAGGTTTGGAAACTGTAGTATGTGCATTACTGAGAGAAATATTTTGGATCTAAAGCCATTCAAAAGTAGAAAGAATTCTCTTTAAATGCATGTTGCTGAAGCAATGTATACTGCTGTTGTGTTAATTTATTTAGCCCAAATTGCAACTATGGTTTCTTTCAGTTAAATCCAGACATTGGAAATTGATGTTTTTCATTGACTGATCAAATCAGCAGTAAATCTTCTCAAAGAGGTGGCCTTCATTTATTCCTCCATTCTTTAAATCTGAGAAGAAATGCCCAGAAGGCAACAAGAACAACAAGAAGCACCCGCTTCAGATACCCCAAAAGGAGGTATAGATGATCTCTCTCCAACCATCCTCTTTTCCATGGCCATATCCTGAAAGAACATGTAAGGAGAACTTGCGTAAAGAGATATGTAAGTAATATAGCGAGGATGTCTATGTTGGTGTTGTGTATGTGATTGTTGTCTTCCTTTCTTTTTCTTCCTAGCATTTTCCAGCAAGTTCAGGTCCACTTTTTTTTTTTCAGACCAACCAAGTACTGATATGTTGTTTGCAACAGAAATTTACTGACCAGCTTGTTTCCTGAGCCTGATGACCTGGGCTGAGAATAGGAATTGGAATATTATTTATTGGCCAAGTGTGATTGGACACACAAGGAATTTATCTCCAGTGCATAAGCTCTCAATGTACATACAAGTAACAAATTTGTATATCATAGGTCGTAAATCATAAGACACAAAGAACAAGGGATGAATCATAAGATACCTATAGGAGAAGGTAGGAAAGATTCAAGAAGACGAGAAGGATAATAGTAATACAGCCCTACTCCATGGTAAATATATTTGGCATAAGACAGTGCTATGTGAATTAGATGTTTAGCAGAGTGATGCTATGAGGGGGAGGAAATGGTCTTTGTGTCTAGTTCTTTTGGCAAATGCAATGCCCTATAATGATGCCCTGAGAAATTGAAACAGTTTATGTCCAGGATGTGAGAGATCTGTACATAGTTTCTCAGCCCTTTTTCTGGTTCATGCAGTATACAGGTTCTCAATGGAAGGCAGGGTGTTTTGCAGTCCTCCTAACTATCTGTTGAAGTCTATACCTTAGTCTATACCAATCTTCATTAATCTGTTCTATTTGGTTGCTGTGCCAAATGAGAAAGTGTGTCTGGCCCAAAGTCACCCAGTTGGCTTTCGTGCCTAAGGCAGGACTAGAACTTACAATCTCCTAGTTTCTAGCCTGATGCCTAAACCACTGGACCAAACTGGCTCTTTGCTTCCTTATTTTCCCTATATTTCCCTATTCCTATTTTGACAAGTCAGGGAAAAGAAACCTTTTTGTACTCAATACAAATGCACTTGATCAATTGTATGCCTTCAAATGAATGTCAACTCTTAGCAACCACACAGATATGACAACCACACAAATATGACAATCTTCATTAATCTGGTCCCTTGAGTCTTACAATGGTGTATTCATCACCACAGGCATTCATCAGTCTCAAAAGACTATGGTATCGTGCTCTGAAAAGAGGCCCTGAAACAGCTTCTAGTGTGACCTAAAAGGCCAGTTTGAGAGTGGAAATCCCTTCCATACTGAGAACAGATACAGTCTGTCCCCTGTCCAGCCCCCGATTTTGCTGGTTCCAGGACTGCCTCTTTGCCTTAGCCTGCTGAACGAGTGTCTCTTCGAATTGGAGAAGGCCATGCTGCGTCTTTAGCCTCCAAGCTGAACGATCAGAGGTCAAGGCTTCCCAGCTGTTGATGTCTATTCCCAGGGCCTTTAGATCCCTTTTGCAGATATCCTTATAGCACAGCTGTGGTCTCCCTCTAGGGCACTTTCCCTGCACTAATTCTCCATACAGGAGGTCTTTCAGACCATCAGCCATCCTCATGC